GTTATTATTATTATTATATATATATATTGTGTGTGTGTGTGTGTGTGTGTGTGTGTGTGTGTGTGTGTGTGTGTGTGTGTGTGTGTGTATGGAGATGTGGAACTTATTATTAGCGAATAATTTCCAACAAGTTTGTATGAAAATCTTAAAATTTTTCTGCATTCCCAGTAAACTATCTTCTGGTGGCAAGTTTAGTATCCGGCAACCGCGACATGCTCGAGACACTAGTCACCACAGTTTGAATAGTTCAAACTACGCTCGTGTGGTTTCACTGTTAAGGGATTAAAATAATTTTATAATTGTTTCCTTCGTTCTTCGTTCGTGATCGAATGAAATAAATTCGCGTTGAAGAAGTTCCCGAAGGAATTCGAATGTTAAGAGGAAGTGGTGTATCTCGAATAGATTTCTGATGATATTCTTAATCACATAACGGATGTGATCGATCGATCAATATCGAAGATCTTTCAATTCCTTTCTAATTCTTGAGTTTCTTCTGAATTCCTTGTTGCTCTTTAAGCTGATATAAATGTAATCAACGAAAGGAAATAGATTAAGATAAACGATAATTAATAGTTGATTAAATGTTAGTTCGATCAAGATATAGTAGCTGCAATATACGTCTGGAGAAATATTTTAAGGAATAGAAAGAGATTGATTAGAGGGGATGAAAATGCGATTAAATTTTAATTCCCCCTCACACGCACTCCTCGGGCTAATCATCAATAATTAGCATTGAATTCTGATAGTATGCAAATTAGCATAATTAATCCGGCTGCTATTCCTTAATTTGATCGCAGATGAAAGATCCTTGACATCATCCTCCACGCGTTTCGAAGCTTCAATATTCTTCTTCGCCGTCACTTTTATTTATTTAACATTCGCAACAAACGTCTCTAAGAATGTTGAGACAATTTCTAGAATTTAATTATCGTATCGTTCCACTAGCTGTGTTCGCAGTGATCCAGTTTCGAAGGAACGGTATTTTCGATGAAAAATTCCACGCGAAACAAACCAAACTTTCGACCAAGACGTTCGATAATTCAACGTGCAAATTCTTTCTATTCTTTTGCATGTATCTCTGCCTCCACGTCCCTTACTTTTCATCGCACGGTTGAAACGTGTCTCTCCAAAGTGTAACTCCTCAACTCCCGTGTATTTCAACGCGTATTCTCGTGTCCTTTGGAGAGGACGCTCCTTGGATTTCAATTCGAGTTCGAGGTTTCTCTGAAAATGCCAATCATTTCGATCAGAATGATATGTATATAAACGCGCAACATCCAAGATCTTCTTTATTTCTCGATTAAACGAACGATTCCTTCTTCTTCTTCTTCTTCTTCTGCTTCCAAGTTCGTTTCGACATTTTATCATTTCGACGGAGGAAAATTCAGAGATCGATATCGGAGATCGATTATTCCCATCCCTTCCGTGTTTTCACGTTCCTCGCGCGATATATATTTTTATTAGAATTAGAATTTTCCAGTTAAGTGAATTTCTCTGTAAAGTGTTTTCGAACACTTTGATGATGTGCTCGCCAGTTCTTGAGCCCGTTTCTCCAGGTCTCAGGGACTTCCGACGCCTCCTCCCCTTGCGACCGCAACGGACAATTATCGATTCTCCAGGATGCTATTTAGAACGTGCTTTTCCATCTTGATGATACATCTGATACGCCTCGAGAAAATTACCAGTGGCTCGAATTATCACGTGTGATTTTGATCGATGGCCTTGGAAGATAAATAAAATTGATGAGCGAAAAAAATTAATTTTGTCGTTTAATATCGCGGTTAAATTTAATTTCTGAATATCTTCTCTGATAATTCTGATACACTGAAATCGAGGCCAAATCAAGGTTCTCGAAATGAAAGGGGCGATAACGAGATGCGAGAACATCGATCGAGCTATGATACTCTCAGGGCTACGTTTGTTCCTCGATCATTTTCGATTTCACGGTGAAGTAAATTTTCGAGAGAGAGAGAGAGGGGGGGGGGGAGGGGGGAGGGGAGAGCTCGATCAACTTGTATTGCGATATGCATAATTCATTAAGGAGGAAGGGGGGGGGAGGGTAAATGAGATCAAAGGTCGTTGTATAATCAACGTTGAATGTTAATCCAGGAATGCAAAATGTGCGTGTTTCGAGAATTAAACGCGATCAGATGTGGAACGTGGACAAATTACGAATGGCCGACCAGTTTCTCTGAACTGTGACAGAGTTTGGGGGACGCTCGAAATTTCGATACTTGTCCAGAGTCAAAAAGTTTCGAATATCGAATTTTTTGTTTTTTTTTTTTTTTTTGCTATTTCTGGGATTCGAAAAATCTCTCGGGAAAATAAAAGGCAAAGAAAAAGTAGTTTGCGCGAATAACATTACGAATTTTTTTTTTTTTGAAAATTTTAGATTCATTTCAATCAGTATGATTTTATTGTTATTACCCAATGGAATTTCTGTATAAGGGAAAATAATATTGTATTTTAATTGTTCAATATATTGAGAAATATGCACACTTGCGAATTCTCAAAAAAGAATTCTTCTAGAATTTGTTGAAATTTCTTTTAAGATTTTCCTCGATAATATTGGAATCGGATCGGTCGCGAATCAATTCGAGACATGTGTCGAGGCTTGCACTGTTCCTACTGATAAGCGCGCAAGATTTGATTGACGCTCGCCTCGAGACCGTCCAAACTCCTCCCCAATTGACAAGATCTTGGGATGGAAGTAGGTGTCGGACCATGCTCGTTTCGATCAATGTTCATCAATGTCGAATTCACAATCTTGGAAGAAACATCTTGGAGAAATTCAACAGAATGATTGGTTAAATTTGAGAAGAAACATTCAAAGTTAATTCATCGTTCCGTTTCGTTTGTGCAAAAATATCCACTGTACGATTGTTCTTCGATTGTAACCGTATAATTTTACCTCACATACATTTTTTGCATCAATTGTAGATCAAAATTTTTAAAAATACGCATTAATTATATGAACTATCCCAACCGATGGCGGAACCGATTTCCTCCGCTCGAGTTTCGAGACGGAATTTTCTTGGAAACTCGTCTCGGATTCATCCGTTCGTGATTATTGGATATTTCATTATCGAGTGCTCGTGCCTCTCTAGTAGGATCGTAAACCTCGACGTATCGACTCTTGTTTGAATGGCTCGTGGTTTCCTCGATTGTCAAACTTTCCCTTACACGTGTTGGCCACGAGGATCGATTTAACTCTGGAACTCGTTCCGGAACGAGCGACGTCCCAGACCGAGGACAATACGAACGAGCTAGTGGATCGATGAATGGCAGTGTTACTTAGTGTGATTTTATATAATTAGAAAAACGAAAAACATTTCAATGATGGCTGAGAGGAATCATTATTATATAATTACGTTAAAAAAACGTTAAAAATTTTTCCATATTTATTCAAGCATTATCCTTTGTTATATCATTTCAAAATTGTTTCAAAATTGAAGAAAGAATGGCGATTGCTATCTTGATACTCTATATATTTTAATTTATCATTAAAAATATCCTCAATTCAAATCGATTTCCCTCCAAACGAATTAAATGAAAAGAATACGTTATTATCTCCTTTATCATTGGTGTATATAGAGGGTAAAGGCGGGTCACGTGACACAATGCGAAGCCTGGTCACGTGACATAATGCGAAGCCTGGTCACGTGACGCGATTTTACTCGATTGTACCAGTGGGGATAATACGACGACATATACGCGTATCATATCATGTGGAAATTCAACTTTCAACGGTAGAAGGAAGTTATTGTCGGCGAATTTTTATAGTAATTTGGATAGCAATTTAGCTCTCTCGCCCACGCATCTCACAAGAGTGATCAATCTAACCTCGAGATCGACCTGGAAACAATCGTCTACCAAGTTTCGAAACAAGTAAAGTAACCTGATTTAACCGAACCTAACCTAACCTAAATTAATCTATCGTAAAACGTGAATCGAATCGGCGCCGAAAAGTCGGCATTTGAAATTTCCTCGGTATTTTTGTACAAATTTTCGTGGAATATGAGGTCGGAAAATATATATATATATCAGGGACGAGATTATGATATATCCGGAGTAAACGGAGATTATGGATGGAAAATGTTGTTTAAACAGCGTGGATTAAAGTTTCAATGCAAAGTTATTATCTCTCTCCGAAGAATTTTAGCTTGTTATCAAATTTATCAACACCCGAGGGACCCGTGGTATTATGGTATAAAGTTGAATCGGGAATGGATGAGGATATTGTGTTCCCTTGGATGATTAAAACAGCTTGCGGTGGCGAGGTTCGTTTAATTTTTAAACCATCTCTTATCGTATTTCGCTATTGCATATGTAATATACCTTTTATAAAAGATGGACCAAGTTTTTTTTTTTTCAGCCGCATTTTAAACACGCGAAAGTTTTTGATAAACTTTTATCGATAAAGATTTTTCTTTTATATTTAATGCTTTTACGTTGTAAAAATTATTTTAAACGTTACTCGAATTTTTTTTGTTTCCATCAAGAATCCTCGTGGAAATATTTTAATTGCGTATAATAATAATAATAGACTCGTCTTGATTGCAACGAATATAATCCTCTTTAGAATCCACGATAAATATTCAAATATTTTGTTAAATTATCTTCGAACGAGGGGAAATCTTCTTTGCATTTTGATATCTGTTCCTCGCGTAATAAATCATAACAAGGAATCCATGAAGGAATATAAAAGTTAATTTAACTCGAAAATAATGTAAAGGATGTATATTCGAAAGGAAAGTAATTCTGCCGGGTCATTTTTTTTTCATTCCCCTCGGCCGATCTTTCGGCAAAAGGGGGATTCGTTCGTAAAATATTGCCGGTCGAAATTTCGCCGGGATCATTACACGGGAACCTTTCTCAATCAACGCTATGGAACAAAGTCCATGGATCGTTTGGAGAGAACTTATCGCGTTTCTCTTCCGCTTTCCTGATCCTTCCTATCCCCATATACATTTTTTTTCCCCTTGAATATTTATGGGCTGTACGAAGTTTGGAAAGATTGATCGATCGTTGTCAGCAACAGTGCTGTCATGATTTCAATATCCGAGATTGATATATTAAAGATTAAAGCGGAAGGAAGACTTCTTTAAATTTTTCTCTTTGCGATTTTATTATCGCGAAACAGATCTTGATCACGTTAGATAGAAGCGAATATCTTACTTTATCTCTCAGCCCATTCAATCCATCATTTTTATACTTTTTTAATTTATAGATTTACGATATCTGTGTTTATAAAAGAATCATATTCACGTTTCGATAAACTTTTAACACAATTTAAATAACATTTCGCGTCTCTTTGATAAATCCTATCTTCTGTTCCTGTTCTGTGAATCCTTGACATTATAGAAAAATCGACTGGAGCTATAAAGTGATGATACACGTTACGTTATTTACGTATCCGCAAGGAGGATCTCTCCCCGGTGCAGATGTTAGAAACACGACGAAAGATTTCAAAGACGTTGTGCAATTCTTGAATTCCGTGAAATTTATTTCCCTTCGTATTTATTTTACGTCGTTGTTGTTGCGTAGAACAAACGAAATAATACGTCCTCCATCGCGTCGAAAGTTTTATTGGAGACGAGAAAACACGCTGTCGCAAGTTCGTAATCGAGTAACCCGAGAGATTTGATTTTGCGTAAGATTTTCTTACTTAGTTTGAAGAAGGGGCGGGTAACAATTTTGATATGAAATTTAACAAGAGATTTTAGTTATTCGAGATGGGATAATGCGATTGAAAAATTATTATGTCGCGTAAAACGTTTCGAGGAAAATTTATATTATATTTTTGCACGAGTATCAAATATCCTAGAGGAATAATCCTCTATGATTCTCGAATAATTACGATGATATTAAATTTCCAGCTTTTTTTGAAAAGTTTTCACATCAATGAGACGATTTTAAAAACAGGCAAAAATTTTCAAGAAGCTTGTTATTAAATTTTTCATAATTAACGTGACGCTTTATTTAAGTTGCAAGCGCAACAAACGCGTTTCGACAGCCAGTTTTATCGGCTTACGCTTAAGTCACATATTTGAATTAAGGACAAATTTTGGACGGAATGGTGGATCAGATGGAACAAGATTAAAAACTTTGGATAAGCTGTTTTCGAGAAAATAAGCTTTAAAGACGTGGCGAGACAAACCGTATTAAACTCCAAGCGTTGAAACAAAATCTTCAATCTCTAGATAATTATCCGTTGCGTGTTAAATTGGAATATTTTCCAAAAGTTTTTAATAGAAACTTACGTAGAGCAAAGTATGAAACGAAGAATATAGAAAATAGTATAGCACGTTGAAAAATAGAAAAATGGAAAATTAATTATTGGAAGAAACTTTTTCATCGCCTCAATGTTTTCCAATTTTCTGTTTCGTGTAAATACAAGTTGGATCCCCATATCCATAAAAGCCGATCCTCGAAAGTCGTCGAATATATATACACATACCTTGAACTATTTTCTATCGTCGCAAGGTTTCTTTCACAATTTCGAGCAAACGAAATAATTCCAAGACGCATAAAAATGAATAAATTGGATCCGTTCCGGAATTTTCAGTGATTCAATTAGCAATCAAAAATTTCGAACGAATCTTTTTAATTTTACCATTCCCGATGGCTTCCTAGATTCGTATCGTTGAAACAGAATCCCTCCTCGAATGAATTTTGAATAATCATTAACGTGGATAAATATCTTCGTTGCTTCCACTCTTTTTAAATTATTTTGCTCGTGCAAATCAATCAATTTTTAATTCGTAATATAACACTTCACAATTGGCACTTTTATCGAATTAATCGTTTCGTACCAAGCTCTAAGTTTCTTTTTAAAATTTTGAAAATCGAAATTCAACTTTATGTATCTTGATTCATTCGTTCGATTAAGAAATTAATAATCGATACGCGTGATCTTTTAATTGGGAATAAAATTTTAAGATTAAATCGGGTTTACACTCTCAAGGTCAATTCTACCCTCGATACGGGATAATGAACTTGAGGGCAACGATTATGCCGCCCTAATTAACTTTTCTCCACCTTTTTCTCTCGATAATTGGTCCACGAGCTTTCCAGCTGCTCGAATCGCATCGCGTTCCCTTGTTCCTCGATCAAACGTTTACGCGCAGCGATCTCGAATATATTTCTTCCATTTCCTTGCTTCATTATTTCCAAATATTTTCCAACTTGGGGGAGGACGATTAAAGAAAGCGATAAATTTTGATTAATGCCTCGAAAAGAATATGAGAAATTTTCATTATTATCCATTAAATTTTACTTCTATAACACTTTGGAAATTTCTTGGATATTTTAAGCAGAGCTACATTCTTTTTTTTTTTTTTATTTTTTTTTATTAATTTTGATTGATGTAATGCCTCGAAAAGGATACGAAATACAGCGAAATTTTTATTATTATTATTGAATTTTACTTGAACATTTTGTGAATGTACTTACGATTTTACACGAATTTCCATGAGCTTATATAGATGGAGAGAGAATAGTGAACTTTTATTCTATCTTATTAGCACGAATTTCTATAATATAAATATATATTTTCTATAACTTCTATAATTTTTGGAAATTTTAAGCAGAGCTACGTCTTTTTATTCTTGATTAATTTTGATTAATGCAATGCGTCGAAAAGAATATGAGAATACAGATGATGGAGAGAGAAACTTTTATTCTATATTCTATATCAATTTATATTTTGCAAAACGCTTTGAAAACTTCTATTTTAAGCTACGCCTTTTTTTTTCGTATTTTCGTCTGACAAAAGGGATCGGAACAAATTTTGACGAAAGCCAATTTCGTCGAAGGCCTCTTTCACCTAGAAACCGGAAGCTGCTCGGCCCTCCATCTTTACCGTGTTTTTCACTTAGCGATTTACCCAGCCGTGCTTTTACTACCTACTGAGAGACGCCTTTTCCTCATCGATTTCTCCTCATTTTCCAACTCGCTCCGCTCTCCCACTCGCTTTTTCCTCCCCCGATATATTGCGGCTGGTATCGTACAACGTGCGAGATCCTGTCGATTTTTCCTATAAATGTAACCTATAAATGCAAACAACACCGGCAACATCCAACATCCATCTCTTGTTACGTAATCGATATTTAAATATTTTTATTCGATCATTGGAAACACGATAGATACAGAATTAAAAGAGAACAAATTCGCCAAGATTCTCTCGAAGAGAGGGAGGATGTTGCTCGTCGTTCTTCTTTCGATGAACTTGCCCAATTAATATATTCTCGTTTATCGTTATTAATTGAAAAGGATCATCTTTGAAAAATTCTCGTTTTAATATCAATTTCGTAGAAATAATACGAAATTACACGAAATTATCTTCTTTCATCCATTGTTTTCATTTCTTCGGTAACGTCCTCATCCGTATCGAGACTTTCGAAGGAATTAATGGGGTGGCCCTCCTCGATGGGTCAAGGATAAACGCTCTCCCTCGTTTGTCATTTTATTCTTTCTCTTCTCGAATGAAAATGACCGAGGAAGAAACTGCCGTTTTTTTTTAAATTTTAAAATTATATTTAAAATTTTTATTACGTTTCTCTCGATTCGTATCGACGATTTTTCACACGCTGTTCCATGTCGTTTCTCGATCACGAAGGGAAGAAATGAAATCGGGTTTAATATGCATTTTGTCATCCAATTCGAATCGATCAATGGTCCAATTTCAATTTTTGGTGGATGTTTGGGATACTTGGTTTCTTTTCTTTTTTTTTTTTCATTGTCGATTATCAAAGTATCTTATTGTGCTGTATTATGCAAAGTTTATATAAAATTTGAGAAAGTTTGTTTTTCCACGAAAGTATAATCTTTAATGTATCTTTTTTTTTTTTATGTGGTTGACAAGAGACGAAATATTTTTGGCAAGTAAGTCGAAGTTAAAGAAAAGATGGAATGGAATGAATGTATTAACTTTTTATTATTTAGATAGCCACCTACGGTGAATCTGGTTTTAAATTTACTTGAAAAATTCTTTTTCACTCTGCAGAATGGAGGAGTTATAGTTAGGGGAATATTTTTACATAGAAATATAGTGCATTGGAGGGGGAAAAATTTACATTGCTAAATAATACATGCGACGTAATAAATCCTTTCTTCTCATCCTTTTATAGTATTCTCTAACAATACAGATCATAATTCTTTAAATATCTGGAATAGAAGAAGAAAGAAAAGGAAAATCTTTCGAATGAATTATTATTATTATTATTAAATTCATTGATTAACCTCACATAATATAAATTTATTGTAACTATAATCGTCGAGTAACATAATCTTCTACGTCGATTCTTCCTTAAATAATAAAATTTCCTTAATTTTTATAATACCTGCTATTCCAAATAATAAACTAAATTATTTAAAGGAAAAGAAAACGCAAATTTTCTTTTTTCCATACGCAAAGGAAGACGTAATAAAGCACTCGGCCGTATTCCACGAGGAAGAAGAATTCCGTTTGAAAGGGGCAAGGGTCATCTTCCAATATAGCCGTGGAAAGATCTCGTTCTTATCTCCCTTTCTTCAAGGAAATCAAAAGATTTTCCTTTTTTTAATCCCTGCCTCTTTTCTTCGTCCGACGACAATGGATCTTTTCATCGATACGAATCAAATTGATCTCTGGCGGATTTCTTTGCCGCAACCACCATCGAGAGACAAATAAGTGCTCCTCGATTTTTCCAAAACTCGATACGCGTGAATCTCGATTCTCGAAATTCATTCCATTCGAAATTCGTTGAAATTAAACGATTTGCGCGTTCGAAATTTCGTGCGAGTTCAATTCGTATTCGGCCGAATGATTATTCGGCAAATGGATGGAGAAGTAATTTATTTCGTTCTATATTTTAGTGTATATAATTTATTTATTTATTTATTTATTTTTAATTTGTCGAGGAAATTAGGAATTACGAACGAAAGAAACGAATCAAATTTTTCCATAATATAATTGCACAATGCTCACCACTCTTTCAATTTTCACGTTTATTGAATTCTAACTGATTTCAACTGATGAAGTATAATTCATGTATACACATGCTTTTTCCTTTAATATATGTCTATCATCAAATCCTTGAGAAAAGTAATTATTATTTTCAATGATTGATATTTGAGAATTTGTAGAATTCGATAAAAATCATTTTCCTCGTCATTTTTCTTCTCATTTCAAAATTAAAAATTTTTTTTTTTTTCAACGCGCCTCTTAATCTCTGTGTGTTTTCTTTCTTGATCTTTTTTCTCTAGGTGGATCGCCAAATACATACTTTTATGCGTGACAAAGGCCGTGACAGGCACACGCCTCGATTACGCCAGAATCCGACCACCTTTGCGCCAGGCCTTCCAATTCGTGGCAAATCTGAACGTTTTGCAGCCCGATTGCAAAGCTTTACACCGATTTGCTTTGGATCAACATTTTCGACGCTTGCGAACCGATGTGTTCGAACTGGTGTGTTTGATTGGTTTTAAACCATCTTTATTTCCCCATCGATATTTCATACTTCCGTTTATTTAAATAATTTACAGGTAGATTAGGTTTTTGGAGTTGAGTTGTGTGACGAGTTGAGACGAGAGATAAGATGGAAGAAGAAGGTTTGGAAGGTAAAAATAGGTTACAGTAGTTTCTATTTATTAAACACTGGTCGTTGATTGAAAGTTAAAGCTAGAAATATGAAAAGGATTGATTTTTTAAATCAATAGACTTTATGAGAAATTATGAAATACTATTTTAACTTTTGTTTGAATTTATTCTGGATTCTTGGAACACATTGGTGGTTTCTTTCAGTTCTGATGGTGTATATTTAAAAGAAGTAGGATGATTGATTAAGGATGTTGTCAGTGAAAAGTAGCTTGTAGACTTTTAAAAAAAAAAAAAAAAAAGAAAATAACGATTTTAAATATAAATTTTATTTATATTATGTTGTTTCATAACCAAGCTGAAATTGGGTACCAATATTGCTTTTAGCATTTATAGAAATGAAATTTATTAATTTAGAGAATTGGAATTCTGGAATTGGCTTTAACATATGGTGATCATTTAAAACTTGATTTATTGCAACCTGAATTTATGAAATTTTTTTTATTTTCCACATAAATTTCGGAGATAAAATCAATCAATTAAGCTATATCGCTTATAAATATGATAAAATCCTCAAATGCTAATTTCTTACTTCTATTCTATCAAAATTAAAAACATAATTTTCAAAGGTTTTGAACTTTATTTCACGATTAAATAAATATCATCCATTCTTTTTATTTATTCTAAAACTACTTTTAAACATTGTTTTCAATATTACATATATATGATAAAAATTACACCATTTTTTCTATTTGAATGATTGAATCTTTTTAAGTTTCTTATGATTCATTTAAGAGAAATTTAAAGAATAAAAAGAATCGAGAAAAGTAATTTTTCAGAGTAAATTCTTTCTTCAACGGTAATCTATTAATTTCTCTATAATGAATCAACTTCAGAAGCATACCTTACAATTATCGTGGTTCCTTTATGGATCGTTAAATATTTTATTATATGAATTCAACTGCTGTAATCCTTTCTTAAGTCTATCAGAATGTCCAACCAATCAATAATAATGTTTGTGCTACGAGTACAAATATTGCTTTATTAGCTTTTCTGATATTATTTGAAATCAATGATTGTAAATTCAACTTGAATGTAGAAAATGTAATTATATGCTGTGATTTCACGTTTATTTTAAATTATTTCAACATATTAATTATAATTCAAAGCGAACGTGATGCGATATGCGATACAAAAATACAAAGAAAACGATTATTTATTTATAATCAGAATTATCAAGTTCAATCAAATTGATTGGCTTCAAACTATTTGTTTGTTTTGTCACTGTTAAAAATGCAAAAGTGCATACGTTTTTGACAAAATTAGTACTAATATCTATTCAAATAGAAACAATTAATGATAAATGTATCAATATTTCTATAACATTTTTAATCACTTGCGTTTAATAAACATGAATTGTATTATTATGCACATATGCACAACTTATAAATATGCATTTCTCAAAATAATTTGTACGTCATACATGTTATTTTGATTCTCAGAATATCATTTATATTAATCGAGTCCTTTATATACATATATTTATACATTTCTCTCATTTCAGATGATATCTTTGATGAGACTGGAGAACAAGTGAAACCGATTTCCGGTTTGCAGTTGAAATGCCTTGGAGGTGGAAGAATAGAACACGATCCCGATAAAAAAACCATCAAAGTCTTTGGATATTCTCAGGTAATATTTTAGGGATTAACGAATCTCAATGAAACATTCCTGATTTGATTGATTGATTGATTAACTCTTTTGAAATTATAGAAATATATTACAGAATATGTCTTCTAATAATTCATCCAGATTGTTTGTTTTATGAAAAAAATGTTTCACATAAGTTGCAAAAGGAGAATATAATTTTATATTATTAATTTTTTTGCAAGTGGATATTTAAGAAGAAAATATGTAAGGATATTAAATTTGTTTTTTTAAATGAAATATAAATACTAAAAAGAACTATTAAGTCTCTTGAGGTAAAAAGTTATTGACTTGAATTAATTTTATAATATTTTTATAGTCAACTTTGTAAACAAGATTTGATAAGATATATCTGAAACTTTCACAAGAATTGTAGATTGTTTATTGAAGCATAAAACCCATTCAAAATGAAATTGAATTTAATTGAACGTGCCATTTTGAAAATCAAACCTCGACCTATTACGTTCAATTTACTTTTGAAAGGAAACGTTTCAAAAAATTAACAAATTATGAAAGAACCATTTTCTCTCCATATATATTTATATTCATCGGGACATCATGCTATTAACTTAATGCACGCTATGATTTCACTTTTAACACGATTTATATTGGCACGCATACGGTACTATCTGTCGTCTACTTTGCTCTCGTTTGTTTCATTTCAATTAATTACAATTTTGAAAAGCAACGTCGTTAATCTAATGGATCGAATTTTATCACACACGAAGACGTTGATAATTAATTTTTAATTATACGTCGAAATTTTCTATTTAGTTTCATTCTTATGAACGATTGTTATTTTATTTTATCAATGCTTCGATAAAATTTTGATAAGAAAGGAATTCAAATTTCCCCCATTTCAAGTTGATCTCAAAGTGTGATCGAAATAAAATGAGAATAAAAATCGTGAGATAAAATCGGATTGAAATCGTGTTTGTGGGGCAAACTTGGCCTATCAATGATCGTCTATAAAATGAGGGGTTCTCGATTTTAGGCGATTGTAATTATTCTACTTTCGAGGCTGGAAGTAGGGACGCGATAAGATCAACGAAATTCGCATAAAACCTTATCGATACCAGTTAGAGATTACCACGATATTCCATGGATCGAACGAAGGGTTTATTAGTAGGGATTGTAGACTTTGGAAAAATGCTCTTTCTGAATCTAAATAAGTCTCGAGGGAAAGTAATTTTATGTTAATAAATCAAACTTTCGACATTGTTTATTCCTTGATTTCAGAAAATTTTTTGAAAGAGAAATTTTTAATTTTATGCTAAGTAAAAAGATATCAAAAGGTGTCTGGATACTAACATAATATATTGGTATATTTTTCTTTTCTTTCTTTGGAATCCACGAACGAGAATCAACAATTTGCATTAATAATATTTGGTTTATTTTCAGGGCTTTGGGAAAGCAGATCACGAGGTATCCGTTAATATACTGAAAAAATATTATCCTGATTATTCGATCACATGGTCAGACGATGGATACTAATTGACAAGAAGAAAAACGTTTCTTTATTCGTATTCAGCTCAAGATGGGATATATTTGAATGCATTAAATATGTGGTTTAATAAAGAGTTTCTTACATTGTTAAATTATGTATTTTTAAATATGAAAATTAGAAATCTGATCTAATACGATTTCATTTTGATTATATGTGACATAGTATATGATTTATTCGTTTGAATAAATCATATATTATGGATAATATTAATTGTGTAAATATTTAACGAGTTCTAACTAATTTAGTTTATGTATTTAATTTTGTGTATTTAATTAAATCGATTTAAGCATGGAAACTGTGTTTTGTTTTCAAATTTAAATGATTTATAATAAATACATTATAATATACAAAATGTAAAAGTACAAAAGTATTAATGTATCTATGTAATATATAAAAAAATATACATAAAACATACATATAAAAAATTCAATGTATTTTTCCATGTTTTTGTATCTTTAATCATTTTAGTTTCATTCTCAAATAAATTTACTTAATTCAGCCCAAATTGAAATTAAATTTCAATATATAAAATTACAAATAAAAATAAAAAGAGAAGAAATAAAATAAATATTATGTTACAGATTATTTTTTATACAATATGATGTATTGAATTTTATACATAATTATATTTGTATGACAAAGAGAGCAAACAATTAAAAAAGGATAGAGATAGGGTAAAAATTTGAGAACCAGCGCCATCTCTTGAGTGCCGTAAATGAAACTAAATAGATAAGGAGAGAAAATAACAAGACAAGGATAGAGATTTTAAAATAAGAATTGATCTTTGGCGCCATCTCTTGAGTATTTTTAAAAAGATACCTATGTTCAAAAGATGATAATGATTTTTGGATAATTTTTATATTAAATTAATTATAATAATCTATTCTTATTTCATATTTTTAATCGGAATATTTTTGTGAGACTTTGATTTATAAAAATCAATACAAATATACAATTGAAATATAATATATCATGTTTCAATTTTCGCGCGACTGAAGTGAATAGAGAACCATATCTCTCTAGCCAATCAGAAAGTCGCTAAGATTTAGTAGCGAAACGAATCAGCGCGCATCATAGTGCGCATGAGTCTACAGTTGAAAAGCGTGGTGACAGGTCGTGTTTCACCGGCAGAGGTACGTAATTACGTTCAATTTTTATTAATACATTATTATATTGCGATTATTACGTTTAATTATACATTATTAAGCTATATCTAATCAATATGTGTTCGTTTAATCATTATTATACCAGAATTAAATATTTTTATACAGATTATCGTTTGATTGAAGCTTCGATGGCGGGATGGCTTTGAAAGTTTTTGCACACATCATGAAAATGAAGAAATAATCCAACGATTTTCACGCAAATATGGTAAGATTTTATTTATTTTATTAGTTATTATATAGATATCATAAATTTCTTTAGTATTTTTATTCACAAAGATGGAAATAGGTAGTTCGTTATAATCTATTCACACATACACATTTCATACACATGTATCTCTCCCATATATTTATTTCCTAAATGCGTCTATTCGTCGTACGTTCAACTCGTGTGTTATTTCTGTATTTGTTTTGATTTTACGGTTAGTGCCTCAAGGCTGAAAACATTTCTTATTCAGCCTTTCCAGGAAATTGATGGTCGCGTTAATGCCACGCTCGACACGTTTTAACTTGTGTATATCGAATTGTATATATCCCCTCTCCGTTTGTAATTCGATACATCGGTGTCATTTTATTGTCGAAATTCGTGACGATTAAACGTTTTGTGTGTGGTACGTGATATAATTATTTTATAATACTTATTTAGTAGTTATTCTTATTTTTTATACTATTATTTTATTATTACGTATTTGTTTGATTATTTATTGTGTATTATTATAATTATTTAAGAAAAATTTTTTCATATATTTAATCATTAGTTACTGATCAAATATAATCAATTATTTCGTATTATGAGCTTTAAAAATAGGATTTAAGCTATTAGGTTATTATTTTATTTTACGATATTATACATTTATTTTAAAGATTTGATTTTTTTGTGCAGATAAATAGCTGATTGCAGTAATTACTTTAGGCGGGAAAAAGGATTTCAATATGGACGCCATGATGACAGTTTACGAAAGAAAGGTAGATTCTCTCAAAGAAAGGCAAAGATTCTTATGTAAGTACTTAATTCCTTTTTATTATTTATATAATTTTCATTTATAATTTTCTATATTATTTGTAATATTTGTAATTTTCTATATTATTTATTATTTATCTTAATTTTCGAATATTTTTAACACGATGTGAATATTATTAATTTTAATAATGAAAATTTATAATATAGTTTTTTTTAAAAATAACAAATATTCGATAGGAAAATGAAATAAAATATAAAAATATATTTCGTGGTGATAGGTAATATTTTCGGTTCAGTTTAAAAGTAAAATTATGAAATGTAGTACAAATTTTTACTTTTTAATTTTATATCCGTATTTAGACCATAGTTTGTTAGATGGCGTAAGATGTTTTTTAAGGTTAAGAACAAGTGACACAAAATTCCATTAGATGTCAGGACTATTCTATTTCTCGTCTCATATTCTTTTCCCATTTATGGTAATAGTAGAAACAATGATTATCGCTTTTTTATATAAAACAAATATCGGTAATTCAAATGCGTTGAATTATATTATTCGTTGAATAATTGCAATTAGATGTGTAGATAATATGTAGATAATAATTATTAATTATTAGATCTTATAAAAAGTTATTAAAAACGTCTTTATATTTGACTTTTTCTTTTATATATATATAAATAATGAATTCATTTAAATTTTTAACTTAGTAAATTCATTAATCTTTATATTTTGAGTATCGAGAAATAATTAAAAAGCGTATTGGTATTATAACATCATTTTTATTAGATTTAAATTGAAATTGGTTATAAATTATGGTGATGAATACTAGGACTAGGACAAATGGTTCTCGCTGCTCTGCTCTGTATACTCAATTTTTATATTGCGTATAGTTGGTGAAGGATAAACATGATCATCCGTAATTCATTCCTGTTTTTTTTCTCCCTTTCAAAATACACACATGCATATCACGCGTGTTATCTTACTGCTTTCATATCTTTTTTTTATTTTGTCAAATGCATATGCGCTTCATTTTTATTTTCCCTTTTTTCTTTTCTGTGTATTTCGTAACACAATTGTAATAATGCCTGCTTGATAAATGCATCAAATTCCAGCATATCCATATGTATAAGAAATGCAGTACGAGAGAAATTTTTCTCATTTAACAACGTCTTTCACTTATGATTCGAAAAATTATTAAATATTAGAAATGTTTACGCGTAGATTTATGTAGATTTTATCCAAAAATTAGAATTGTTTAATAACGGTGTTCTGTAGAAATAAGAAAATCGAAAAGTTACGTTCGAATTATCGCGGCAAATTGATATTGCTGCTGGCACATGTGCGCACGTGCACTGCGCAAGTACGTGTCACGTGATCAATCGTTCAGTTGTGGAAAACGAAATGCAGAAAATCTTCGTTCACTGCATTTCTTATACTTTTGAATCGCTCGAGCTTGACGTATCATTTAAATCGGTAATGCTACGGACAAGAAACAAATAAATTTTGTGGACAGTGCTCCCCAGTGGTACTTCCAATCCCATAATATATTTACGAATCGAAAAAGGATTTGTCCCTTCTTTAATTGTAAGTTGCCAGCAACTCTTTAATACCAGCGCTAGAGCTCTGCCCACGGTACAACGGTCCGATACTTGATAGTTCTAAAAAGTAGCCCGTTTCGAGCAACTTCAAAGACTCGACCGGTTTCTTGTAAACGCTCGAAACGCTTTGGTCAGTCAGTTAAAGAGAGAAATGAATTGATTCCTTTTAACCCTGACTGAAAACACAAAATTGTTTCGGTTGCGAGATACGGTCAATAAAGCAATACGCGGCGTTATCGTTGATAATTCGTCTGTCTCGCGATGCGGCTCGAGAAATAATACAATGATCTCACTTCAATTTAATTACTCTTTATTACATGTTATTCGCTTCAATGAATAAAATGGGTGATTGGGTGGTAGTAACTTTATTTAAATAAGTGAATAATTTAAAAAAAAAATAGAAGAAGAAGAAAAGAAATTATTGCTAGAAATTCGCAAGTGTGATATTTTAATTCGGAATAAAAGTAAATGCATCGCGAAGCAGAAGAATAACAATAAAATACATAAATCCGTGAAAACGCGCGTGAACAACGCTTACGT